ACCGATTAAAAGACAGAACAATCCCAATGTTCCACTTGAATTGAATGACTGACCACTCACTCACTAGATCCTGGTATGGTAACTGTTCTTTAGTAGTTGTACCAGTAACAAATAAGAGATAACAGCACACCTTGAGTGATTACAGAGTTGCCATAAATACCCAAGTTTTGAATGCAGTGAGGGGAATGGGAGTGCCCTGTAGAACCAGCACAGCTTTGGCAAGGGCAACATAAATGATCTGGAGTACCTGGTAGTTTCCATGTAAAGGATAACTCACCTGTCTAATATTGTACAGATTGTTCTAAGAGGCAACTGGAATGAGGAAGGAGAAGGAAAACACAAAGCTATACAATTCAAATCAAATGCTTTGGAGAACAGCTGCAGCAGTTTTAAGTACAGCAAAGGTTTTTCAGCCTCTGCAGCTGGTGAGGCTGGAGTGATGAAGGGCTGCACTTCTGGTAGCAGTTCACTTCCAGCTGTGGCTTCCAAGCTCTCTAGCAGAGGTCATGGAAGACAGCTGGAAGCAGCCACTCAAGACTACAGACAAGTTCCAGAGCCTGAGCTTTGCTTTTGCACGTTAGTCTAATGAATATGCAGCAACTCCATCTGTTGATAAAGCAGTTTCCAGAGGAACTTAAATAAGTGAATAGAATACACAATAGAATATTTAGGGAAACACCTCTTTTCATCCAGAACCTGGGCCAGAGTGCAACTTCATCACTTCATAAATGGCACTTCAAAGCAGAAGAGGAACACAGTGAAATTACAGACAAAGAATGGCTTTAACAGAAGAGACTGGAATTGTTAGGAAGAGAGATGAGTTTTAGTTAAAACCATTTCTGAGCAAAGTCAGTATGGAAGAGTATGTGCTGCATGTTAAGACCAGTCCTTTTACAAATATGGACCATAGTTTTTCAAAGACTCTGGTCAAGATTTGCAGTAACTAGCAGCTAATTGGAATACTTTAAACTTTTTAACCTATCAAGCCCAAACCAGAGTTCTTGACACCTGGTCTGTTTGTTTCCAAACTGTTCACTAATCAATCAAAAATATTCCAGAACAGTTCCTCTTCCTCTCCCCCTCTCCTACCCCACAAGACAAAGGATTTCTGAGGAAAGGCTCATAATTTCAGGGAAAACAAACAAACAGACATCACTCTGCACAGTTGTCAGACACCTTTGGCATTCATCACAGCAGCCCAACACAGTTTATGTTAGAAATCGTGAGCTACAGAGTTTATGAAACATCTGAGTAAGTCTATATCTGAATTCAGAAGGAAACAGCTGGACAAAAAAAATGCACATGACAAATTGTAAATGACATAACTCAAATAGTGCACATTTATTCTGAACGGTATTTCTAAAGAGTTTGAGAAAAACAAAAACATGCTCCTGATGTACAACAAGGGCAATAATACAGATTAAAAATGGGCCATCTTATTGTAAAGAATTTGCTCCCCCTGCAACTTAACTTCTAACATTGAGAATGCATCTGTAAACTGCATACAGCATACCTTTTACTAAATCTTAACTCAAGAGACCAGGGGTGGTCTTAGCCAAATTAATCAGGAAGCAGTTGCAGATTCAAAAGAAAATCCAAGTCAGCAAACACTTTACGAAACACATTGTGCATAGCAGCTGACCTTGGATTACAACATGGGGGAGAATAAAACAATTTGGGGGATCAAATTTTTACTAGACACAGGGCATCATCAAGATTTAACAGAATATCACGTAAGTTTGTTTCAATTGTAACAGTATGTCATATTTAGTTGGCAGGTTTAACCATTAGCTGCATCATGTCAACTCAGCCAGTTTCTCTATACACTAAATACATTCTCTCCCTTCCCCCTCCCAAAAATGAAGGATCTCTCTTCTGGATGATTCTTTTTCTCCTGTACCATGGTTTCGTCAAATAGGAGTCTTTTTGTAATATCTTCATACTTCAACTGATGTATGACAAAGCCAGTTGCAGAGATTCAGGAATAATTTGTATATACACAATTTACACTCTAAAGCTGTTAGTCACATAGATTTTTCTTGCTAGATTTCATCCAGAACAGTAGGTGCTGGTGTTTTGGGCTTTTTTTCCCCCCACTGAAACTCCCAACTTTGGAAAAATTCAGTTGTTCACAAACTGCTGTTTTCAAGCTAGAAGGATGTTCTCCTGCAGCAACAATCCAGGTAACTTACTGAAATTCTCTGCAGTAAGCCCATTACTTCACACAATTTCAGTGTCTCTGGGTAACAGCACTAAGATACAGCATTCTCCTCCCTCACTCAACACAACTGATAGGCTAATAAAATACAACTGTTTGTCATCCAGAACTACTGACCTTCACTTGCCCTTATCCATGTACAGGAACACAGTTTTCTTCAGATTCAGATTAAACCTTGTATTCAAGATTCAACAACTGTTTTCCAGGATTAATTGCCTGGGAAAAAATGTCTTAGATTTATTCTCTCTTCCACCTCCTACAAAACGTTTTATCAGAAGTTACAATGAGGCAGGTCTGCTGTGGAATAGGAGCTTTAAGAATTGTTCTCATGGATACATTCATAGAATGATGGCAGCCCAAAGCAAAAAGAGACATAAACAAAGGTTAATCCAAGTAAGTTCAGACATCAGACTTGTACTTTTAAACCTGAAGAAAAACTGTCTGTGAAACACACTGATTTGTGGAAGCCTACAACAACAGCAAATCCTAAGAGTTCATATCCCCACACTCATCTACCCAACCCAAACACTTACCACTTAGTTCTAGACGAATGAAGAGCACTTTGCTTGGCACCAGAGGCAGCTATGGTCTGAGTTATAGCTGTACTGCACAAACAGCCTCAAATACAATACTATCTCTCTCTCCTTCCCCATACTTCTCTTGGTTTGGTCTACAGATGGCAAGGGAAACTATGTTGGCATATGACAAGCTAATTGTGCTTCGATATATCCCTTTCTAGAAAGATGCTGGACTGCCAACATAACCACCAGGAGCAGGCCCTAGCTGTACTGAAAATAAGCTTTTGTCAAAACTAGGCTGTCTCTGCCAAGGGAACCGGTTGCATCTTTCTAGCCAGAGTCTGCCACTGAGTGTTGCAAACACAGGTGCTCAGACCATGCAGACGGGCTGGTGTTGGCCACTTGCCCATCTCTAAGACTCCGTTAGTGCAAACTCAGCAAATGAAGTAGCCGTTTTCCAGCGCAGATCTGTCAAGATGCACTCCAACAAATGACACACCTTTGTCAAAGGAGTAATTGTGTAGCAGCTCGTATAGTCACCCCTGGGTTATCAAAGACCACATCATAATGCAGCGAGGAGTGCCATCCCTTGCCTCACCACAATTCCCGTTTTGGAATCCTTGGTTCCCAAGTCACCCTCTAATGACTGGACAGCACCTACTAACCAGATGTATGCTGCAATGCACACTACAGGTTGGAGGCTTTCAGAGCAGAGGAATTCAAGACTCAGATCTAAACTTTAAAAAACAAACAGGAAAAGAATACAGTTCAGCATCTACATGGGGGATGGGGCAGGTTGGTGTTGTTTCAGCTCAGTGCACTTTCCCAGATACTTGGAGAAGAGTCCAAGCTCAAGCTGGTATTTATATTGGCATACATAAAGTTGCTGGCAACAGTGCCTAGAAAGGATCACTGGTATTCACGCAAACAAAGCATGAAAGGATGCAAAGCAGAGCTTAGTACTGTTTACTGTAGCCTCAAAGTTACAGTACTAGGAAGCAGCCAGCCAGCCTATTTTCCAAACCCATAAAATACTCTAATAAACGCTGATTTCTCCGGTGCTCCATGAACACCCTCTCACCAGAGGAGAACTGCATTATTACTACTGAATGGGGGAAGGGGAAAATAATCTTCAAAGGAGCAAAACCGTGCAGTTCTTCACCACCTCCTCCCAAAGGAGCTCATAAACACAGCAAGTCAAGCCAATCCCAAGCAAATCCAGGAGACCCTGCAAACCTCTTTGATTAGGGTCAGATTCATGTCTGCCTTCTTAACCTTGCTGCCTGGTTTCCTCAACCCTTACATCTGTCACCACAGATTCAGTAGCTGTAACAGTGTTACCTGGAGGCAGGTGCTTGCCTTATGTCATCAAAGCTGGTAAGATGGTCACGGTAACTTTTTCCAACCCAACAACACAAAACTAACTCTCAATAAGCTCTGCAGAATGTCATCCATTTTTAAAGCAAGGGTGTTGCCTCAGGATTCATATTTTTACAAGGTTGTTCTTGCCAACACCAGATCTAGCCCTTACTCTGGCAAAAGTCTGCTGGGAGTTGGGTAAATGAAAATAAGAAAATACAAAGACCACTCTAAATCCTCCTCTCAGTCAGTTAAGAAGTGTAGCACCAGCTTGGGCGAGGAGTATTTAAAAAAAGCATTCAAAAAGATCAGCCCAGGCAGAGTGAAAAGGTGTGGTAAAGTAGCCCACCCTTCTCAGCAAAAGATGGAGGAAAAAGCCATACTCAAAAATATTGGGAAGAACTAAATATACTTTTTTGAGGTGAGGAAATTAAAAGGAAGAGTGGGAAGTACTGAAGTAACATTCAAAGGTTGGGGGAGAGTAAAGTACCCTGTAGGTTATAAAAAACACAATAATGCAGGAGTCAAAGGACAAGATATTGCTTTGCCTTTTTCCCCCCTATTGGGTTTACATTCTGCTTACTGAAAGAATAATTCTGAAGGAAACTTGTCATCAGGATAACCTGCTCAAGCCCTCCACATCTCAAACTTAAATGAGATCTGCACACCTTTTCCCACCCCAACAGAAAACAAAACAAAAAAGCCCCCCCACCCTCAAAAATAAAAATACCAGAAAGAAAGCTCAAAAAAAATTTCAAAACCAAACAAAACTCAACCCCAAACATGATTGGACAATCCTTGGAAGAAGCATTACATTTTGTTGGAGAGAGGTCAAGAAAAAGATTTAAGATGAAGAGGTGGAGTAAAAAAACAAAACAAAAAAACCAACCAATCAAAAAAAAAAAAAAAAAAAAAAAAGAGGCCTCTCTTTCCTTATTTGGCGACAAGCAAGTGCAAGAAAGTGTCCACTGGGGTTTTGTTCAGTTGTCGGTCTTTTGCACATCTGCATTCTGGCCAAGACAAGGGGCTTTGAGGTTTTTCTGCAGCACGTGAGCATCTGCAGGCTCTATCCTCTTGTAGTAGTTCTTCTTCGTCTCAATGATCTCAAAGCCAAACTTTCTGTAGAAGTCAATTGCAGATTCGTTGCTGATCTGGACATGCCTGGGACAAAAATGGGCAGAGAGAGACAGGGGTCAGTATTCTGCCTCCATACTAAGAGCAGTTAAAGACAAGAAAAGCAGTTATCTAGATAGAGACAGGAACAGCAGTATAAATCCAAGACTGGAAATGCTGGTCTTCCCAATTCAATTCTGGGCTAACACTCAGTTTATGGATGGCCCATGGTTGTGAATAGTAGTAAATGCTTCCCCTCAGTAAAACTCTTTCAAGGAACACAAAATAGCAGAGAGACTCTGAAGCATTACTACCTCAGTAATTTCAATTTTTCTTAATAAAGCAATATGGGCAGATATTTTGTGGAAATATATAACAGAGTTTCATTGTAAAGCCAACTTTAACCTCCTGTATTAACACTTTGCAAATGACCAGAGGAGTTGTCTCAGTGATGATCCCAACACACTAACATAAAACTGGCAATGGTGTTTGATATGATTTAAACACCTCGCTCTACTCTAACTACTCCTCTCTCCTCACAAAAAGCTGTAATACAAAATAGTCCTATGGATTTACAAAGTCCTTTTCCCTTGTATTTAGTTGCCCTGCAGTTTTATAGATTTTGCTAGCATGTTTCAAGGTCTTCAAAACAAATAGCCATCAATTCTTTATCCTAAGTGACCAGGACATTTATTTGCACAAGTTTCATTAAAAAAAAAAAAAAAAAAGAAAAAAAAAAAGAAAGAGAGAAAAGAAAGAAAAATGTTAGGCTCAACAAAAGGCATTCATTGAACACTCCTGAAATTCAGTGGACACTGCACAAGTTCATGAATCACTGCCACGACAAGCTGCATAACCACAGAACCAAAATAACTAACTGTGGAAGCAACAGCAGAACAAAACAAAAGATCTTAGTATTAAGCCAAATAAGTATCAAAAAGCTAAAAAGGAGCTTTATTATAAAGACAAATTTAGGCACCGATATCAAGTTTGGTGCTAAGCTGCATAATATGTTCAGATAGAAGATGCACGAGCAATAGACATAGAAATAAAATCAATGGGCCACTAAAAGAACTTTAGCCCAATTTTGGGGGCTATTTATTGTCAAGCCAGAACCCTTAGTCTGGGAAGTGTAAAGAAGGATTATGAAGGATTTGGGTGGTTTTTTTTCATTAGAACCAGCAAACATTTCCTTCACTGTTCACAGAGTAATGTCCAAAAGCAAAAAGGGAAGGCCCTGTCCCATTAGCAGGCATCTCAGAGAGTTCTTTACCACTTCTGAGGCAGGAGAGCAGGAATACAAGCCAAAAGCAATTTTACTCAGACACCTCTAAAACACATTCCTCTTACAGAGATGGCACAAAGGAATAATAGTAGAGGACATGGAAGGGTTTGCACCTCCACGGCAGAAGTGGACTAAGTTTGAGGAGAAGGTCACTCCATTTACAGTAATACCAGTGTATGAAACACTCCTCACAAAGCATCTTCTACAGTCCTGGCAAGTATTCAGGATGTAGTTCTGTGGCAATGTAAGTCCATCCAAGCTGTACCTGCTGTGGGCCTATCCCTAGCAGTGCATCCTGCTTACACTGGTGTGATGGCCAAGGCAGTGATGGACATGAAGGAGCTGCCTCAGAGAAGCGATCAGGCCAGAAACTGCATCACTCGGTAATCACGCAGACACCAATGCACAGGAAAAAGCAGAAGTGTGAAACCAGCAACAAAAAAAAGCAGCATATTTCTGGCATTTATGGATTTCAGCTCTGTTTCCTGGGTGACTGCCCTCTACTCCAGTGCTTGTTCTCTTGTCTGCATCATACCAAGTACTTACACAGACATGGAGTTGGTTTTAAAAAAGCCCCAACAAAACAAAGCACAAGAAAACCACTCCCCAAACCCCAAAACACACTAAAACAAACAAACAAAAAAAAAAACAACACCCAAAACAAAACTGAAATCAGCTTCCCCAGCTGGGTCAGGGCACTGATCTAGTTTATTGTGCTGCACAAATAGCTGACCTGGCGGTGTTCAAGAATGGGAACAGCAGTTGGGCCTTATTGCTGAATGTAAACTTTGAGTGTTTGCAAGCATCTCTGATATTCTAACCCCCAGAGTGCTGTCATAAAAGACAGAAAGCAAATGCTTCAAAACTTGCAGTATTTTCCATTCTGAAGATGATCTTGTTTCTAAAACATTTTTTTTTTTTTTTTTGCGTCTTACAGTGGAATTTTACTCTAGAATGTAATTTTTTAAGTAAACCACTTTCAAATTCAGCAAATTTGCAGAACCCTTTCTAAAGCAAGCATGCTTTTGGTTTTCTCAGCATTACAAAACAAGCCCAGAATATGACCCCTGGCTTTCCTGCTAGTACTTACAAGATGTTCAGATGTTCCATGACCCCACTAAAATATACACTGAACCCACACTTGTATCGCTATCCCTTTGCTCCCATATCTACCTTTATCATCTCTCAAACAATGCATGGGTGTAACTCCTTTACTTACAGATAGATGTTGTCAAAAGTGCCATCTTTTTCACAGATGTTTAAGACATGATTCAGCATTTTAGTTCCTGATAAAAGATAAAGACATACTTAAGAAAACTAGAAGGGCACAGTTTAGTCTGTACTTAGCTAGGTGCTTCCTCGAGGGGAGGCAGGTTAACTGTAGGTGGACTAAAATGACAAGAGTGTGGAAACTAGGAAAGGCAATGTGGACACACACATTTAGAGAGGTAGGGAATTACAGCTTGGAAATCCTTTTCAGGCCTGGATTTCTCCTGATTCTCAGGTCCATTCCCAGGCTGACAAGCTGACTACAGCTTCAGTTAGGGAGGAAGTCTCCCAGAGTGATAACATGGTGAAAAACAGAGTGGAATTCATAATAAAGATTAACACCTGGTGTCTTTCCCATGGGATACATCCTGAGGTACTGTCCCAAGGATGTTTTTCCCAATTGTCCAATGAACTACTGTCCTGTCCTAGCTGCAGGTAAGGTACTTTAAATACGGGTTGTCCGTACAATAAAGTTGGCCTTTTTTCCCCAAAAGGGGTCCGTGTGTGTTGCTGTCTTTTCTCTCTCTGCAGCGCAGTAACCACAAGGCAAATAAAATATGTTAGGTATTTCACTCTCTCTCTCTGACTGCTCATAAACCTTAATTCATTGTTTCTTTGAGGAAGAAATACAAATCACAACAGCCCAGAAGCATATGTATAAATCAACTTAATTTAATACTAGCTTCAAGGTCTCAAACTCAGCTCAAAATACAGCCAAAACATTGTATAAAGCAGTAAGGACACTAGGAAGCTTTTCTACTAAAGACCTAGTACAATAATTTAAGATGAAGTTATATTTTCAATCCAGTTTGTCAAGGCAAACGGATTACTCTAAGGTCCCTGTCCTACGGGTTTTCAATGTGGAGCAAAGAATTAAATGCAGTATAGACAAAAAGCAGGTGCTACCCCTGAGCAGCAATAATCAGTAGTGATAAAGACAAAATAAATAGAAATCCCCTACATTTAGAAGAGTGATGGAAGAAGCCAATGAAGGAATGTTGTGTTCTACTTAGGTATGACTTGCATACTGGCTACATATCTCTGACAAATTATTTCATCTCTCTCTGCAACAGTGTTCACATCCATAGAAGTAGAGTATTTACAACACAGTATGATATGAGATTAAAATAATCTGAAATCCTGAATTAAAAATGTCTACAAAAAGTTCATTTCTGAATGGGAGGGAAAAATGAACACATGATAAATCATACTCTTTCCCCCAAGTCCCCTCCAAAGAAATCAGTAGCCTAAAGTGCACTAACTCGGTTAAAAATCTGAAAGAGCATTTAGAAAGCTGGACAGCAATCTGCTTTCTTTGATGCCTCAGATACAAAAGAAGACTCTCCTTACCTATTCCTAGCCTTCGGTAGGGTGCCAGGCATCCAAGTGTCATAATGTACAGTCTCTTCTGGTTCTGGGAGTGATCCACCCTACAGCACACTGCTCCCACTGCAATATCATTGAAATAGGCTGCCAGGGAGGGAAACACAGGTTTATCAGTAACAAGTCTCAAACTACACATACAGCTCTTTCATTTACAGCCTATATCTTCCTTCTTCCCTCCCTCCCCGCTTGTTAATTCTCCTATCCAGATAAAATAACATGCATTGTGGATTCACACTTGGAATGAAGTCATCAGCGCTGCTTTGACATAGTGGTTGCTTATTACTGTTCACACCAACCAGCAGTGACTTCAGGGGGTAAGCTGGCAATGCACAACTGTTTTCTTCTGGAACAGAAAACATGCCTATTCCCAATGGGATGTAATCTACTTCGAACACAGACCTTTTGCGGCTTCTTTGAGGTTCTTAAACAATTATTTTTCATGATGTAAAACAACTAAATAGGAGCTGCTATTCAAAACCATTATGGATAGCAATGATGACCACTTCTGCCACCACAGCCCACAATTATTGGCAAGAACATTTGTACCTAGTTTGGCAAGTTCGCCAACCTCCAGTACATCCTTGTAGAACTTGTCATTGTAGCTGACAGGAAAAATGACCTGGTTTAGCCTCTTCAGCTGTTTAATGTTGTGTGGCGTCACATCTCCCAGCTCGATCCGGCTACTGGAACAAACCAAAACATGCTTAACATCTGACATACAGCAACAGTTTTAAGGACACTCAAGATTAATTATTTTTCTTATGCTTAGAGAACTGTCCCACCTAACAGATAGCTCAATAGATATTTGAATTGCCACATCCAACTTATATAATCAAGTCTTATGCTGGTGACTGATTTAAGTCCCAAACCTAGTTTCAGTTCTATACAGTCAGAAGTTTCTCAGGCCACACTAAACACTAGTGTAATGTAGTCTATGTGTGGTTTTACTGGGTGGGAGACAGGAGAACATGCATCTGTGCAGAAGTATTAGCTTTAACATTATCCCATTCATCTGCCCTCTGATCATCAAGATCCCAAAAAAAAAAAGAAAAAAGGGGGAAGAACAAAGCTAGAGGAAGCTAGAAGGGGAGACCAAGGAACTGAAGTCCTTACCCATGCTTCAAAGACAGCCTCAATTTTACCACCTACCAATATAATGCTTATGCTTAGACAAAAAAGACTAAGTCATTACTAGACATGTGTCTCTAAAAACCAACAGTACTGCAGGCAACAAATATATTAAGCCTGTTAATATGCAAGTGTGCCCTTCTCAAGGTGATACCTGCATCTAGTTTGATCATCACTAAAACCTTTCTTCCTGCTGAGAGCAGAACCACAGCCTTAAAATACACTGAATTATACTGAGAAGAAACAGACTAAGCTCCTCTCCTTTCTAAGACTAACTTCCTGACAGAAACACTACACACACAAAGTTTAAAAAAAATCAAAAAATAAAGAGATTAGTCACTCTTGGGTTAGTGCAAGCAGTTTTAACAAGGATTACAAGAATGAAAAATAAAAAGGCCAAGATAATAAAAATCTTTTCCTAAATGGCCACCAGAATATGTAGGCAGGTACAAAGCCAGTGCACATGCAATTAGAAAAACCACACAATTGTAGGTTCATATCAGCCCTGTTTTACTGAATGGGCAACCAGATTGTTTTCTGCCCAAACATCAGTAAAGACACTGTTTGCTCTCACGATTCCTTTCTTCATGTATGCCATTTGCGCAAGTCCCTTTGGAGAATTATATTCTGACACAAAGCAAGTCTGGAGCTAATACGGATGGTGTTCTCACACTATGGAAGTACTCCCCGTGTAAACCAAGTTATTAGATGGTGGAAAAACTGTAGTACTTGTTTTATGCCCAGCTTGGCACAACTGCTCAGTCTAACACAGCAGGCCTTCACAGAAGGCAAGTTCTGATCCCAGCCGGCAGTGCTGCTGCCTTTTCCTCACAAAGGGCAGGAGTAAAACTGTGGCATGTGGGTTCCTGTCTGCGAAGAGTTTTGCTGGAGTAAGGCACCTCAATAATCTAGGAGGGAAGAGAAGACTGAAGAGCCCCTTTTGCTGCAGTCTGCATGACAGTAGAAACCAAAGGGAGCAGGTGTCAACTGCCCAGCTGGGTCAGATGAGCTTCAGTGCAGGAGGTCAGTAAGGGAAGAGACAAATATCACATTCAGACTCAGTTACTGAAAGTCTAGACCTCTTCTCCAAAAAACACTATATTAACCTTGGTGATACAAAACACTACCAGTAGTTCCAAGCTTCAGTAGATCAGCAATGCTAGCATGATGAACTCACAACAAAGTTCCTATACACCATGTCTCCTTTTGAGCAAAAATCCCTGACACAGACCATCACCAGGTAGTGTTTTCTAATATTATTTTAAGATTAATTAGTTACTAATCAAACAAACCAGGCATTAGAAGACAGTCACTATATAATATTTATGATGACAGTGCAACAGGACAAAAATATATTACCACAGACAGCCAGGACAAGATGGCTAAGAAAGCAAACATGGCCAGAAAACGGATCTTCACAAAGAAGGTTTCAGACAGAGAACAAATAAATAAATGCAGAAGAGAGTCTAAGGCTGGGAGTTACTGAGCCAAGACATCACCTCTGAAGCGGGCATGAGGCCAGAGAAATGAGCTCTGTTAGTAGATGGCTATAAGGCACTTGCTGACACATTTCCTCAAGCCCCTGGACTTCCCCCCCTCTATCTCTCACCACTTGCCACATTCACTGCTGCCTCCTGCCATCTCCTGCTGCTTGTCTCCTGTGCTCTGTCACTATCTGGTTTGTCCTTGCAAGACTTGCACCAGGGACAGTATCTTATCTTGAAGAATAATATGAAAGAGGTTTGAGGAACACTGCAGGTAGCATAAATCAATACTCTAAATATATCTGTTTAAATATTGTGCACTCAAACCATAAATTACTTTAATGTATAGCACTGGCTGATTAAATCAGCACCACATCTATAATGCACAAAACCATTTAATACATAAATTAAATAAGAACATGGAAAGGAAGACCCACATAATGAGAATGCATCATTTTGCCTGAGGACAGTGTGGCAAAAGTGCCACTGGGGCCTTGAGTAAAATCATAGGAAAGCTCCCACTGCTGCTTTCAGCAGCAGTCTTGCTGTTCTCGAGCCACTCATTTCCATCCTCTTGTTGCCACAAACGTTTATGCAACAATGCGGTGAACCAATACCCATTAAAACTAACCTAGACAAAACAAGGAAAGTTTAGTTCTAACCCACATCAGTCCTCTGACTGGGTTCACCACACAAGTCCTCTGCCAGCATAAAGAAGAGAAAAAAGGTTGCCATAGGCAGAACTAACTGGTTCTTGAGCAAAAGTGCCAGCTCACTCCGGTTTAAACTGTAAGTACTGTGCAAGAGGAGGACAGGGTTGTAGATTATCCAGTACATCTGTGAACACAGTCTAGGGATATTGTGCTACACTTTATAATTCAAAGAACAACATGCACTTTGATCCTAATGACTTAAAAAAACCTATTCCAAACAGCCAAGACAAAGCACCTGTAACAAAGGACTCAAAATTATCACTCCCTTCTCTTCACCAGAGTAAAGCAAGCAGCTTTGTGGGGTCTTTTTTGTTGTTGTTGTTAGTTAGTTTGTTTTCAACAACTGTTTGCAACTAGACCTTCTTCAAGTGAAGTCTCAGCCAAATCAGTAACTTAAATACGTTTAGTATGTCAGCTAAGGTCCAACTAGGCCAGTCCTGTGAATTCCAGCTTAGTAGAAGGTGTGTCAGTGTCCTGGGTTATAATGCAAAAATGTGTATTCTATCACCATCTGTTGAAATGTGGGAGGGGTGGTGATCCTTATCTCTGTGGAGATAATCTCTGCTGATGTGCCATCTGGTAAAATCAGGGGGATGATCATCGTTATCTATTCACAACCCATCCTTCCTCCAGAAGATATCTTCTGTTAATGAGCCATTAAGTCCTATTGTGTGACTGATAAGATTACATCATCCCACTGGGAGATGCTCCAGCCAGGGGCAGGAGCCAAGCCTTTCCTACCTAGATAAAAACTGAGATTTGGAACACCAAGCCAGCCCCTTCCACTGGATCTCAGAGGAAAGTCAGATCTTTCCAGATCATCACTGGACCTTCGGAGGAAAACTGCACCTTCTACAGGAGCACTGCTTCAACGGAACCACATCTGTCATCCAGGAGGACTGCAGCCACCATTTATAGGGACTGCTACCAACACCCTGACTGACAGGGTGTCAGGTTGTATTCTGACTCTGTCAGTGGTTTTCTTTTGTATTACTGCATGTATTTTATTTTTTCTCTTTTTTCCTATTAAATTGTATTAGTGACTTGGAGTCTCTCACTGGTTTTGCATTCAAACCAGTACAACCAGAAACACTTATCCTCTGCTGTTGCAAAGAAAAAAATTAAATTATGAGCTCAAATTAGCATATGAGAGAACATAAAAATGTGTAAAGAACCTGATGTGCTCAGAAGGAACATGCCCTTCCTTAACAAATTATCTTCACGCCACAAATATTCCTAAGAAGATCCACACTTGCTATTGGCACCCTACAGCTCAAATGGCACTCCATGGAGGATGCAATAGTCAACTGTACTCCATCTTAGATATCAAAGCTTCTGGAACAAGCCAGTCACCCCATCTCAAGCAATTGTTTTTAGCAAAGAGGAATGAGGGACTCCTGGCTTATCAGGTCAGGCCTCTTACTACTGCAGCATTCTATAAATCCACACACTTTCCTCAATGAAATGCCAGTCTTCTGAAGCCACTTAAACATCTTCCATTTGAAGGCTGTTCTCAAGCTACCATTACTCTCAGTTAGTTATTCCAGTGTACTCAAATCTACCTCTGTGCTGTCTGGAGATGATGACGACCATTGCACAGGTCTCTTCAGAGAGTTGTCATGATCTCTTCATACCTTTCTTCTAACTAAAGCCAAGCTCCTGCCCTCTTCCTGTAAGACTGGCTTTAAATTCCTACTATCATCATACTAGCTCTTCCTTACATTCCTTCTGATTAAAGTTGACTTTCCTTAAACACAGCTAGCCAAAACTGCTTACAACAACCCAACACTATTGTCTTGTCCAATGGCAGTAGATTTTTTCTGTCACTACTGGAAGTATTTTCCTGACATATCCTAGGACTACGTTTGCGTTTTTCATAACTGCTACATTCCATGACTTGGTCACTGGGGAAAAACACACTTTGAGAATTCACTAGTAGAAGGAATCAGTTCCTGGTGCATAGGCTGCTATCTGTTAAAAGTACACAGCAACACTGCCCAGCGATGTAAGAGCGGAAGTGAAGAGTGATCCACGAAATCTGAACAGAAGTGTGACTTTAGTGAGGTGACAGGCACCACTTCCTCAAACTGGATGAGTGCCCAGAACATTGGCATTAACACTGCTCCTCTTGCATGCCAATGTCCTAAGATCCTCCAGGCACTGGCTAGAAAACGCCTCACACATTTTGTAGGACCAAATGCAATCTAGTTAGTCATGCTGCAGTTGCATTGCTCTGCCTGCAGTTTACAGGTGATTTGAACAGTCTATTTTTCTTACAATGTCTTACATTGATACTGGTGGAAGTAACATATGAGGCTACATGAGACATTAGTGTTATTTATGCTAGGGACTGCCTTT